TTCAATTGTATTAATGTCCATTATACAGTGTGCATGACAGGCAGATGAGCTATATTCAAGAATTGGTCTGGTGAAGGTTTTATATACCCTGGTTTGCAAGGTGTTACCGGAGAAGAAGCTTTGCAAAGTTACTCCAACTCCGCACGTACAGTACATTAAAATTCAGGAAGAGGTGTAAATGAAATCATCTAACACCGATACAGCAGCTTTCCCTAAATTAAAGCCCTTGGAGGACGTCAGTCTACAACGGCAGCTGTCTAACAATCTACAGAGGCTGTGAAAGTCTGAAACATGGAACCCAACACATCTGGATTGGGTGAACAATAGAATGCTGTCTATCCAAACTACGGAAAAGGAAGACGCAAGCAGGCATGGAAGGCAATCCTTCCCATCATGGTTGTTTCTGGGGCTGAGCACCATCTGGTGTTCAGTTTCATTATCCTGCAAAAATGCTGACGGCTCTGAAGGCTCACATAAAAAGGCCATTTTTGATGGATCGCTCAGGGAATTGATGATGTTGAACTTTACGATTTATGTTCAAGTAATGGAACAGGGGGAGGATTAAGTAGAACAGTGATGCTCAAAAGGGTTTTTTTTTTATAAGCTTCCTTTTAGCATGGGTCTCTAGAAAAGAGGATATCAAACAAAAAAAAGGACAACGTTTTGCAAAACAAGGCGGTCATGTTTATCAGTAGAGAGAAAAAATATATTTGTAAATGGAAACAATAAGCATTCCATTCTATGCATTATTATGGTCAATTACCATAAATAGGATCTATCCCGTCTTGAAGATAAAGAAATCATGGCTCGTTTGACTCAATCGTTTGATTTCTCACTGTCGCTTGTACTCTTGTGATCTCCTGTCTGAACTATGGCAATGCACTCTACATGGGGCTCAGGGGTGGTATTCAGCCGGTTTGGGCCGGTTTGAATCAGATGTTACATTTACATCTGGTTTGCCAAACTGGTAGTTCAGCCAATTGACCTCCCAGGAGTCTCCGCGTGGCCCATTTTGGATGGAGGTAAGTGCAGGGTCTGCGCGGAGGCTCTGGGAGGGTGAAAGAAACAGGCCTTCTGGAAGTTCTGGAAGTCTGGAAACAGGCTTGTTTCTGGCTTCTGGTGGGCCTCTGGCGGTGGTGGGATTCAATTTGTTTTACTACCGTTTTTGTGGGCGTGGCTTGGTGGGCGTGGCAGGGGAAGGATACTGTGAAATCTCCAGTCAGAGGCGGGATTTGCCAGTTCTCCGAATGACTCAAAATTTCCGCTATCGGTTCTCCAGAAATGATCAGAATCTGCTGAATACCCATCTCTGGCCTCTGGAGCCTGGGGGAGGCCATTTTTGCCCTCCCAGAGGCCCGAGGGAAGCCTTTGGACTCCGGGGAAGGCAAAAAATGACTAATAAATGGCATTGGTTATTCAGCACTTGTGAAACCAATCGTCCACAAATTGCATTGGTTGCCATTGTGTTCTTGGGTGCAATTCGAGATGCTGGTTGTTTTCTCAAAAACCCTTCTTGACTTGGGATTGGATTACACAAGGGACTGTTTCTCCCCAGTTGGTTCTGTTTGTCCAATCCAGTCTGGTGGGATGGATATAACTTGGGTCCCATTGACAAAAGAAGCGATTGGGCTTTTCCAGCCAGCATGGGAATTGAAGTCCACAAGTCTTACGTTGCCAGGTTTGGAGACCCTGAACTAAGGAATATTGGTTGATGGAGAACAGGATGGCCCAGACTCTGCTAGCCTTTTGTAAGGCCCTAAAGACCTTGCACGGTGGCTCGGTAGCTAAGACACTGTATTTGTCCATCAGAAAGCTCAGCATTTTGGTGGTTCAAATCCCTAGTGCTCCGTAACAGAGTGAGCTCCCGTTCCTTGTCCCAGCTTCTGCCAACCTACAAGTTCGAAAACATGCAAAAAATGCAAGTAGAAAAAGAGGGACCACTTTGGTGGGAAGGGAACAGCTTTCCATGCATCTTTGGTGGCTAGTCATGCCGGCCACATGACCACAGAGATGTCTTGGGACAGAGATGGCTCTTTGGCTTTGAAACAGAGATGGGCACCGCCCCCTAGAGCCGGAAACGACTAGTATGTATGTGCAAGGGGAACCTTTACCTTTAAAGATTTGACTCTGGGCCCAGGTTGGGGGTCCCAAAGGTATGTAGGGACCAGTTTCTGGATTAATTTACCAATTACGATGTGTGATTTATTCTTGGCTGCGATATATTTTACTTTTTTATATTGTTGCAATTGGTTTTCATTTTGTTCACTGCGCAGAGTCACTTGTTGAGATGGGTGGTCATACAAATGGAATAAATAAATAAGGCAAGAAAACAAATTCCTGGCTTGCCTCCCTTTCTACTGCAATTGGTTCACCAGTTGGCTCTTAGACCAATATTCTTTGAAAGAACCGTGGTGCAGAACTGCAGACTGTTATTGTTATTATTATTATTTTTAACAAATTGACGTCCTTGCCCCAGTGTGCAAACAAGCTGTGGGAAAGAGACTCAGAAAGTCTCACTCCAAATTGTACACCTGGATATTGGTCCTAATGTGAAACAGTTCACTTGCTAGAATGAAATCCCTTTCATCTTAATCTTTCTAAAGAGAATTGGGAGAGATTTGTGCTTGGAGAGGAGAAAAAAAGTCACTTTCAATTCAGATATAGCTATCAAAGGCCTAGGACTTTCCTTGTTTTTCAGAAAAGGGAGATTAGCGAATTGCCTGATCTTACTTGCATCTAATGACAGTTTTTCTAGTCTCTTTTTCTCTTTCTTCCTCCCTCCCTCCCTCCAACTCCCTCTCTCTTCCTCTACACCTCTTTCTCTCTCTCTCTTTTTAAATTTTGTCTCGCATTTTGGAGGAAAGATAACTGCCATCATTCCCTGAAACTAGGTCAAGTCACCTAATGATTATTTTAGAGGTTGTTCAAGTGCAGATTCATCTGCTGGTTCTCATCTGATCTACCTTATCTATCTAAGATGCCAGATGCCAACAATTATTTCATAAGAAAACAAGTAAAGATTCTCTCCAGTCAGTCTTGATTTGGGGCTGTTTAGTGGCTGCAATGTGGATGCCCCTTCTTCTGGGATCTATTTCTGGTCCCTCTCCCCTTGGCTACTTACAGACCTGGCCCTTTCTGAGCGATATTCTGAGCGGAATCAGAAATTTCTTCGTGCTATGACATGGACCTCAGTACATGCCTTGAGGCTTTTTACTCCTAGTTAATTAGCTTAGGTTTAGGGATGCGGTGGCTCAGTGGCTAAGACGCTGAGCTTGTCGATCAGAAAGGTCGGAAGTTCGGCGGTTCGAATCCCTAGCGCCGCGTAACAGAGTGAGTTCCTGTTACTTGTCCCAGCTTCTGCCAACCTAGCAGTTCGAAAGCATGTAAACATGCAAGTAGAAAAATGGGGACCACCTTTGGTGGGAAGGTAACAGCGTTCCGTGCGCCTTCAGCATTTAGTCATGCCAGCCACATGACCACGGAGACGTCTTCGGACAGTGCTGGCTCTTCGGCTTTGTTACGGAGATGAGCACCGCCCCCTAGAGCTGGAAACAACTACCACATATGTGCAAGGGGAATCTTTACCTTTACCTTAATTAGCTTAGGAGTTCCCAGTACTCATAGATTTGCAATTCTCAGATATCTGAGGGAGAAGCAATAACTCCTGTGGTGTCCCATGATGAATTAGAAACATTTACAAGTGAAGCCATGGGGCTTATTCAGCGGACTCGAAAGTTTTGTGTTTAAAAGATCGCATTATTAGGGAAAGAACTATTCTCCCCCTGGAATCATCAGATCAGAAATGTACCTGCTATTTACATTTGCAAGTGCCAACTACATCATGAGAAAACACCTCATTTTATGGTACGAGTAAGGAAAAAGTAATTTGCAAGAAGCAAATAACTTAAGATCGTTTCACAGTTAATGAGGCTGTTCACTTTGGGTAGTTTCTTGCAGCAGCTGAAATGCTTTAGATGTGTTCGAAAATGTAGCTTTTTTAATGAGTAAAAATGGGTGTCTAGGTAAAAAACCAGTAATGGTATTAAAGGGAATATGTGAGATCTAAAACAACGGAAGAGAGTATTTGTAGCTCAGGGCTAACTGTGGAGATTTTGGTGTTCTCTGAACTTGATGGTTTTCTTGCAGATGTTTCTTTACCCAGAACCTGCTCCCTTCTAGCACTGATGATGCTATCTAGTTTGGTAATGAAACATCTGCAAGCAAACCACCAAGCTCAGAGAGTACCAAAGACCCCACATCTAAAACAATGAATAGGTTTGGACGGCATCAAGGTTAGTGAGGGATTTTTTTGTTTTCCTGGTTTTTCTATCCAAGCCTGCTCTGTTTTCAAATGCTTGTCGTCCATTATGGACCATGTTCTTCTAATTTTCTGATAGCTTTAGTAGAGATTTTTATTTGGGACCTGAATCTGTCATGTCCCTTTCGGAGTCGAATCTGAGGAAGAAGATGAACAGCTGACAGGGAGTGGGAGTTTGGCTCTGTTGGCTGTGGAAGAAACTGGGGAAAGGCAGAGTCTGGCTGGGCAGAGCAGGGAAGAGGTAGAACAAGGGAGAGGGAGTTCAGAGGAAGACCCAGGCCTACCCGCTCTTCATCCTAGGGCATACAGGGAGGAATGGAGAAGAGAGCAATGTGGGTTGCATGGTTTATAGGGGAGGAAAGGCCCCTGATTCCCTTCATTAGCCACAACTGGGAAGAGAGTTTAAAAGAGATGCATGCTGAGTGTGGCATCTGCTGTGAACAAACGTAAGTTTATCTTGTGTTGACTTTGGTTATCCGCGTACCTGGCATCATCCCAACTGTGTTGAATTACTGTTGTGCCTTCATGTCTGGAATTCCTTCTCCTGAAGGACTAATTGCCTCATTTTGCCTTGTTTGGGCTTATAGTTACAGTTTTGTTGACCATGTTTTAGACTTGATTCTCTGCAGCTATTTCTGGGAGTGTTTTTCTCTACCTCAGAAGGTAACCAGGACATTGGGGGCAAAGTTGGAGCTAATAAAGGGACTCCTATTGATTATCTGACTGTGTTGCTTTTGTGCCACGCCCCGGGTTGTCACAGAATCTTTTTACATGAGTTCAGATGCCAGTCCTTCACCAGTTGTTCATTACCACCAGTAACAAATATATAAAAGTGTCACAGGAGATAATTCATTCAATAAAAAGCTTGTAACTAAAAATACATTTAATTAGAATAGCTGCAGTAATCAGGACAAACAAGTCATCATCTAAGCTTTCTTCTAACAGGCAAAAAGAACCCCACAGTGCTTTAAAAGCATTTAAACATTGGATTTCTATATAAGGAGAAACATTTCTAATCCCTCAGTACAATGGCATCCCCATTATAAAAAAAAAAAAAGTATCTACAGACCCGATTTTGTTTAAAGCTTGTTTCACTTAGGTTATCTCAGTCTGCTCTGAAAGTGTGTAAAAAATCTGATTGTCTTTTGTATGAGAAATGCACAAAAAGTTGAACCGTTTTTCAGTTTTACTGTTTATGGACAGGGTTGGGATAATTTGCAACTGACTACACTCAGTAGACCAGATCTCCACTAGGTTCCAGACCGTAAAGCTCTGCCAGCATCTTGAATCTGGGACCCCAATCATTGAGAAAATCATAATCAATATCCAAGTCTGAGGAGCCTGAACCCAGGGAGCTTAGGGATTCTGCAATAGACTCGGCCCCTTCATAGCCAAATATGTGGAGGGTATCGTAGGGCAACATATCTCCATCGTTATCAGCTTCATCTTTTTTCATCTCAATCATGATGCCCATCTCTCCAATGCCTGAAAGTCCATTCTCAGGGATCTTTTGTTCCCGGGAATATTTGCAAGGTGAATCCTCCAAAGGCATTCTGGGGCATAGTATCCCTCTCTGGCGGGCTGAATTGAGAACCGAGACATCATAACTGGTGGTGTCCATTTCACCACCGCCTTCTTCATCATAGGCCACCAGCTGCTCATGGATCTCTTCTACGTTCTTCTTGAGAACACTGAGATCTTTCTTGTGCCGCCTCCTCCAGACTATCAGCAGCATGGTTAATGCTGTAAAAAAAAAATGGGGGGAAAAGATGACTAGCCAACATAATGTATTCATATGATGTTGAGTCTGGGTCTTTGATTCCTTGATTCTTTACCAGAGCTTTTCACTATGATGAGGATTAAATACCTTCCACCTAGCTGAGTTCAAAAATGTTGCCTACCTTTTGACATGAAATAGTTGGGTTTGAATACAACTGCTTATCATTTTCATTTGATGGGGCTTCTGAGGCATATCTTAGAATAGAACAGAGTAAAGTAGAGTAGAGTAGGATAGTAGAATAGAGTAGAATAGAATAGTAGAATAGAGTAGAATAATAGAATAGAATAGAATAGAATAGAATAGAATAGAATAGAATAGAATAGAATAGAATAGAATGGAATGGAGTGGAGTGGAGTGGAGTGGAGTGGAGTGGAGTGGAGTGGAGTGGAATGGAATGGAATGGAATGGAATAGAATAGAATAGAATAGAATAGAATAGAATAGAATGTAGAGGAGAATATAGAATAGAGTAGAACAGAATAGAATAGAATGGAATAGAATAGAATAGAATAGAATAGAATAACAGAGTTGGAAGGGACCTTGGAAGTCTTCTAGTCCAACCACTGCTTAGGCAGGAAACCCTACACCACTTCAGACAAATGGGTATCCAATCTCTTCTTAAAAACTTCCAGTGTTGGAGAATTCACAACTTCTGGAGGCAAGCTGTTCTGTCTTCTCTGTCCCTACACCTGAGCTGTTTCATAGCACCTCCTTTGAGATTTGAATGGCCCCAATCCTGTTAGCCCTCGGAAAAATCTTGAAAACCACAGGCACTAGGCCAAGGTAGCATGTGAGCCATTTTAAAGGTGAATAAGTGAGTTGCCTCTGGCTCAACCTCTTTGTGGAGCTGTAATAGTATGTGAGAATGACCTTGAGAACTGAGGGAAGAGATGTTTCCCAGGAAATGATCAGACAAGAGGGGCGGGGGGAAAGCCCCCATGGCTTAACAGTTAGAGGAAGAAACTTAGGAAGGACCCACCCTAATGAATCAAGCAGTCAAAAGTGGTCGTGGGAAGTTTCTGCCTTCCGATAGCGCAAGATTCTCTCAATGTAGTCTTACAACAAAGTAGAATTAGCTCAGGGTTCCTGTCTGGTTTATTTGGGAGGTTGCAAATCTGAAGGTACAAATCTCTGCCACTTTTAACTGATTAACTGATTCATTAATCAGTTAATCAATCAATCAATCAGAATAGAGCTGGAAGGGACCGTGGAGGTTTTCTAATTCAAGCTCTTGCTCAAGCAGGAGATCCTATACCATTTCAGACAGGTGATCGTCCAGTCCCTTCTCAAAAATCTCCAGTGATGAAGCACCTACAACTTCTGAAGGAAAAGTTGTTTCAGGTTAGTTGTCCTGTAGGCCAGGTCCTTCCTAAGTTTCTCTCCCTTCCCCAAGAAACCACTGGGGACTCCTCCACTTCTTTTTTCTCATCATTTCCTAGACGGCATCTCTTCCCTTGTCCCTCAAGGTCATTCTCACATACCATTACAGGAGTTTTATTCTATTTCTTTTAAAAAAAGCTTTTAACGCTCTTGCAATTTTTCCACTGGTGTTCCTTCCCTTTGGTGAAAGAGAATGTATTTGGGACATTTATGCCTGAAGAGAAGGGAATGGGGATGTTCACGGGAATGCAATGCAGCATTCTTGCCAAGGAGTTCCTGTGCTCGGATGAATTATCATGGCACTGTCTCTTCCTTGTGGTCTGCAGCTCCGTCTTCACAGGCTTCAGTCAGACTCCAAGCCCTTTCAGCTCGGAAAGCGAGGACTGTCAAGGAAGGTTCAAAGAACAGGAAGAAGTAGAAGCAGAAGCAACAGGTTCTTCTACCCAGAGGTGGCATTCAGCAGGTTCTGACCAGTTCTGGAGAACTGGAAGCGGTAATTTTGAATAGTTTGCAGAACCGGCAAATACCACCTCTGACTGGCCCTGCCAACCCCATCTATTCTCTTCCTCCTGAGTCCCAGATTGGCTGGGTCTCCTTTGGTTGCCTGCACAGGAGAACGGAGCTGGAAAGCAGGTTAGTGGGGTGGGGAGGGAATGGAGATTTTGCAGTAACTTTCCCCCACTGTGCTCACCAAGCCACACCCACAGAACCAGTAGTAAAAAAATATGAATCCCACCACTGCTTCTACACCCTTCAAAGACTCAGAAAACTGGAGAAATTCTACAGGAATCCTTATGTAGGAGAAAATCAGAATCCCCCCCTCCTTTTTTTTTTGAAGGGGAGGAAAAGTCTAAGAAATCACCAAATTGTTTGAAGAATATCATTACCAAGTACCAGAAGGCCTCCAGTGCCATCTTGGTTAACTTGCCGAATCCATGTTAAGGCATTTTTATTTGCTCAGTTTATATTAACTGCATTGCCTCTGGTAACAGGAAATGTTCATTTTATTATTATTTTTAATAATATTCTTGTAAATGCTCTTGCTCTTTTTTTTTTTGGTTTTGTGGTGGCTATTTTACGAATTCTGCAATGATTCTGAGAAGTGGAAAACAAAGATGATTAAGAGACTGGAGGCTAAAACATATAAAGAACGGTTGCTGGAACTGGGTAGGTCTAGTCTGATGGGAAGAAGTATAGTAGGAGTAGGAGTGATGTGATAGTAATCTTTCAATATCCCAGAGGCTGCCACAGAGAAGAGAGAGTCAAGCTATTCTTCAAAGCACCAGAAGGACAAGAGGCAACAGATGGAAACTAATGAAGGAGAGAAGCAACTTAGAACTAAGGAGAAATTTCCTGACAGTTAAAACAATTAATCAGTGGAACAACTTGCCTCCAAAGGTTGTGAATGCTCCAAAACTGGAAATTTTAAAGAAGAGATCAGATAACTGTTTGAAATAGCGTAGGCTTTCCTGGCTAGGCAGGGGGTTGGACTAGAAGACCTCCAAGGTCCATTCCAACTCTGTTTTTCTATTCTATTCTATTCTATTCTATTATTCTATTCTATTCTATTCTATTCTATTCTATTCTATTCTATTCTATTCTATTCTATTCTATTCTATTCTATTCTATTCTATTCCTATTCCTATTCCATTCTATTCCATTCTATCCCTATCCCTTTCCCTATTCCATTCTACTCTACTCTTCTAAAAACCACCATCACACGGGTTGCAACTTGTATTAAGTTCCCTTCCACCCCCTGCCCTGTTCAAAGCAGAAAGGGAGAAGCAAAGAGAAGTGAAGGTCGATTTACCAAGGATGGTGAAGATGCAGACGAAGATGGTCACCAACACTTGGATGCCAACTCCCATTAGCTTCGCTTGCCCTTCGCAACGCATTGCCCCCTCCTTGTCGCATTGGCATATCTGGATGGTAAGAGTGTTCGTGCTGGTCTGTGGTGGTGCCCCATTGTCGGAGATGATGATAGGCAAGAGATGAGTTTTGAGTAACTCTCGGTTGAACGGTCCAAACTTGACGGTGACGTTTGCTGTGTTATCTGGAAAAGGCAATAGCGTGCAGTTGAATGATCAAAAAGTGATTGTTTCAAAGGGTTTCCAGCTACCATACATAATACCGCCTCTAGTTTATGGAACCCATTTGATGGGTAGAAGGAGAGAGCGTCCCCATTCTAGGAACTTCTTAATTTAGCACGATCTACTGGCAAGATGGATAGAATTTCCAATAACCCTGTTTGTAGCTCTGAGCACCTCGAGATTGTGTCTTTGAAACTTAGCACACATTTTATTTTGTTTCATTTTCCTTCAAAAATAAGGATTTTGGGGCTACTTTGCCACCCAACTGGAGTGTTTTGCTGCAAAATTTCAGCTGGACAATGAGGTTGAGAATTTTTAACAGTGGAAATAGGATTGGATTATTTCCCAGAGTCTCGTTTCTTCAATTCCCAACTTTCAAAATCCAACAAATCTCTCCCTTCTAACTCTCTCTATCCTGTCTCCAACCATGGCTAAAATTAAATCAGAATTGCCCATGGGGGTTGGGGGGACAACATCTTGGGGCTTTCCAGATACCTGGTGGGAACAAGCTGCCTTAATGCATTAGAAATGCAAAATCTTCCTTCCACTTTGAGAGGGTTGAGCTATTGTAGGAGGGTTGGAATAAGCAATGGAGATTACTAGGATGATAGGGCTAAAATGTTTATGCTACCCCTCCCTTTTTTAGATAGTATAAGCTATGTTAAGTGGAACTTTGGAGTTTACCAGATCTGTTTCATTGTTTATTTCTGCTAACCGGAAAGCAACCTTAAAAACTGTATTGCCAACAAGACTCCTATTTTTATTGCAACTATTCTACAGACACGCACCACGATTGTCAATGAGAGTAAAGTTGCTGTCTTCAGAAGTCAGGGAAAACTTGAATTTCACATCTGGCGATGTTTCATCCTTGTCCACAGCAGAAATTTGTGTGATCACCTTTATGAATAGAAAAATGTGACATACTCTCCCATTACTTTCAACAGATCCATGGGGATTATAGAACAAGTGCACTGCCCTCATCAAAGGCATGGTTTGGTCTTGTTAGCAAAAACCCGAATAACCCCTTTGAATAATTCTGCTCTGGGCAACATATCTTGTAAGCTACCTGTGTGCTGATAGCAGAAAACAACTCCTGAGATGTGTTCTATGAAGAGAAATATAGCAGTAGAACATCAAAGGGGAAATCTAGCCTGTAAACTAAAAATATACATAATACATTTACCATGATTTAATAAACTGTAATTGGCTGAAGCCACCCAATACATCATGCCACAAATTGCATGGTTTACACGATTTATGGTGTTATATTGTATTTACAAATTACTACTGACAGAATTCAGGCAATATGTTTAAATGAAAGCTAAATAAAACAAACACATTAGAGTTTGTGAACTCGTCTGTAATGAAGTATTTTTACACCAGGAAACTCAATTATGCCTAACTAGCATTTTATGAAGCCTTTGCACAGATAACTACAGGTAGTCCTCAATTTAAACAGTTTGTGGTAACCCTAACTCATACCAACTAGCCCAAGTGTCCCTTTGATAAGACTGGTCAAAATGCAATAATTACAGTTAACAATCTTTAATATCCAAAACTAGTGTACTTGTATGCTTTGCCAGTTAAAGGCCAGGTGTTACTGAAGATCTTTTTATATTTTAATTTTATTTCTTCAAAGAGAGAAACTGGTGAATATATGGATTCTTTAATCAAATGTAGAACATTGAAACTAAGTCGCAAGAACATTTTTTCCCCTGAAATTTTACCTTTCCAGCTGCAGCATTTTCACACACACGTGGATCGTATGGAAAGGCAAATTCTGGGGCATTGTCGTTTATATCCGTAAGTTTAATATAAACTGGTACATGGGTTTCTAATCTGGGGATTATCTTTTCTGAAAAAGGAAAAATATTAACTGGTTATCGTTTTGAAACCAATTAAGAGTAAACACACCCAGACCATATTATTATGAAAAGTACAATGGAGGAGGGAAACTTGTTGGAAGATCCCCAGATTCCAAATTATCTACCTGATATTTCCAGATGGGACTAGGAATGACCCTTGGTTCAAACCCCTTGGAGAGTTACTGCACATCATTGTTGATAATACCAAGCAAAATTATCTGATACACTTTAAAATAAGTTCTTAAACCTCCTATTGGTGCTCCCCATTATTCGATTGTCATGAAGCAAACCTTTCTCCTGAGCTTGCTTAAGACTATGTTATAGTTGACTTAAAGGCTTATTTATATTTATAGGCTTATAGTTGATTTAAAAGTTACTTCAGAAGTGGTTCAACGAGTGATGGATTTTCCAGTTTATTGCAAATTACAAGCAATTAGCTGCAAGGTTTAGAGTTGGTAGTTATTTACTAGGACTGTGCAGTCTTTCATATTCAAAGGGGGATTTTTTTTAAAAGGCCATGTTGTCATGTAACATCTGTTTGTAGTTCCTTCAATGGGATCTCATCCCAGATGGTTGGATATCTGCCTTGTACCAGATGTAGCAGGAAAAGGTGTGTCTGCTTTAAGGAACTGCCAATAGCTGCTAAATGAGTTCTACTATTTATTTATTTATTTATTTATTTATTTATTTGTCAATTGCTTACAAGATAATAAGTATAAGGATAAACATAGTTATGAATACATGAAATGAATACATATAAGAAAAATAAAAGAAACAATAGGACAGGGACAGTAGGCATGTTGGTGCGCTTATGCACACCCCCTACAGACCTCTTAGGAAAGGAGTGAGGTCAATAGTAGACAGTCTAAGGTTAAAGTTTTTGGGGTTTGGGGAAGAAAACCACAGAGTCACGTAGAGTATCAAAAGCACACCTGCTTTTTCAAATCCAAAGTGCTGCACAATCCTATTGTTTATTGATATTTATTTACTAACTGAAAGGACCTGAAAAGCAGTAGGAGTGACACACTAATCAACGATCCCATAATCCCTTGTGGGCTGGAGTCTGGGCAAACGAATGGAGTTTGCAGAGTGTTTAATGGTCGGATGCCCTTCCTGTTGCCAGTGAGGAGTTTTGTTCTGCAAATATATTCTCACTGTTCGCAGGGAGAGAAATACCAGCCTCTACCTAGGATTGAACTCACAGCCTCCTGATTGTGAGGCAAAAGATCTACTCTAGCCACCGCACAACTAATCAACATGATATAGGGAAATACTTACTATTTTGATCCAGCTCATTGGCTGCCACAGTTATATTATGCCAAGCGTTTTCTTCTCTGTCCAGACGCTTTATGGGAAAAATACACCCACTGGTACTTATTTCAAAAGAAGTGGATCTTAAGATATGATAACTACAGTGGGTATAAGAAAAAGTCAACTTAATGTTTCTGAGCCTCATAAACATATGGCTGAATTTACACATGACAAGGAAAGCTAAACCTGCAAAGTTAAGGCAAAATAGCCTTATCAGGTACAAAGGATCAGGGCCACACCTTAAGTTGCAATTCACAAGATTTATTGCTCAAGCAAATAAATACTAGAATTTAGTCAATTAAAGTTCCGCATTAAATTTGCACCAGATAAGGGTCAACAGAAGTCAAGATGGATTGACTTAGAAGGTTTGTGGGATCATTATGACTTTAAACTGATGATGCACTTGACTCTGCCCCCTGCCTCTCCCTACTGTTCTCCCACACTGAGCCTGTGTGTAACTTTGGTTTGGAAGCAATGGGGAGAATTCTTTCTCAAGTGCAAATCGAGTCATCAGAGTAGTGGGCCTCCTTAGGAATGAAGCAGGAAGGAATAAAACAATACATTTTCTTCTCCCAACTTCCTGCAACCTTGGCAATTGGCAAGGTTACAGGAGCTGATTTTTGCATTAAATAAAAACAGTAGCATGTTAAATGCATTTTAATGCCACGTCAGGGCAGTGAATCTCTATGCTTATTTTTTTTTATACTCAGAAGGTACTTTTAAGATATGGTCAGTTAACTTCTCATTACCTTATTTTCCGCCTGGCTTTATCAGGGTCACTTGCAGAAACACATCCAATGGATATCTTCGTTGCACCTTCTTCTTGAACAGTGAATGTATAGGAAGACTGGGTGAAAACTGGAGGTTCATCAACATCAATAACTTTGATAATTACTCTGGCAAGGTTCTCAAGGCCCTTCCGTGTAGAATAGGCATAGTTGATATTGGCGTCAGTAGCTTCAACCACAAACCTGTACTCAGGTATCTTTTCAAAGTCCAAGAGCTAAATGAAAAAGTAAACATGTCCAGGTTACAAAGGCAATAGAAACTGATTGGCTAGTATTGCTTTTTTGGGGAGTGGGGGACAACTTTTTTGACATGAGATTTTGAGTTACGCTCCTCAAAGCATGTGACGCCAGGTTAAAAATTACATTTTATTCATTTTTAATTGAAATTTGGATTGAAAAGACACAAATATAACTGAACACTTCTACCTCGTTGTGGTGGTCAACAGTGTATTATTTGGAACTTCCTTGCAAGAGATTATTTTACAATTATCTACTTTGTACTAAAGAGCTGTCTGTTTGAGTGGTTTTAATTGATACTAGACAACCTGTGCCCTAGTTAACTCATTATTTCATAGGTATTTTATTCAGAGAAACAGAATCACCAAGGGCAAATAAAAAAGCAGTGGGAGCAGGGGTGACTTTTGATTTCCTGCTGGCTTCCCCATTGAGATTTTTGTTTGAATCTGGCAGGGAGCATTACAATTCCTTCCTTCCTTCCTTCCTTCCTTCCTTCCTTCCTTCCTTCCTTCTTTCCTGCATGCCTTCCTGCCTTTCTTCCCTTTGCCCTTTGCCCTTCCCCTGCAGGCAGGAGAGGGGCTGCTGGAGAAGGAGAACATAAAGGATTGTGAGATTGTCTGGGAAATTGTCATAGAACATTGAAAATGTAGATCATGTGACCGCAGCAGCAGTCCAGCAGTGCAGTAGCTGGCAGTATCATTGATACAAGCACAACTTATCCAAATTTCATTCCTTGAGAAATTTGGATGCATTCTGTAAGTTAGCCTGTTTGAGATACTTTGGTTCCAAAATTATTGTCCTGTGATGCACCGTTTCACCCAATTAAAGGTCATGACAACAAGAGTTTTAGTGATACATAGAGATTATTTTTTTAGTCTTATTTATTAATTAAATTGATATAGCAACCCATCCCATTTCCATTTTTACTAATGCTGTAACAGCTAAACAGCATTAACAATAATAGTAATAACGTTTGAATGTTACTTCCCCACCCATTTAATACGCATTCCACATATCATATTATTCCATAATAAGTTTTCTTCTCTTTACTATTTCAGGTAGACCTAGTTCTAACTGGCACCGTATAAATAGCCCAAGACACAAAATCAACTGAGTTTCAAAAACAATACCTTTGTTGGTTGAATTATTCCTTCATTTGTGTAGCGATTTGGTACAATTTTAAAGGTATCTTGGTAATTCCCTTGGCGAAAGCTATACTTAGTATCCCTGTTTTGTGGTTCATCAATGTCCTCTACTTTTAATCTGCCGACTTCACCGGTCAAACTGACATTTTCGAGGACTTCGAAAGTGAAATTTTCTGAAAAAGATGTTCATAAAGCCACAATATTTCAGATAAAAATTTTCAGTGATGAAGAAGAGATAAATGTAATGGGAGAGACTTGAATTTTTCCAATCTACATTTTTACAATGTCTGAATTATCATAAAGAAATCATTCCAAAAGTTCATTTCCTCAGCAATAACGAAGCATAGCATTTTTATAGGATATCTTAATTGGAGTCTGCAGAAATAAAGAGAGAGCCTTTTTAGATTCAGCCCTTTGACTTTGCAAAACTCACTTTGCTTAAATGCTGGAAAATTGTCATTGATGTCAATTAATTTAATGATGACAGTAGCAGTGCCCAATTCTTCAGTATGTAGACCCTTGCCATCCCTTGCTTTCACCCGAATGGTATAAGAAGCGTTTTGTTCTCTATCCAAGTCAGGCACAGCTGTGTAAATGGTTCCTTTAAAATAAAAATAAAACTCAAATGTAGTTTATATTGTCACTTCCACTCCCCCCCCAATCGAGTTTAATTTTTAGTACAGGTGGTTAAAATAACAAAGCACAAAGATTAAAATTCTTCAGGCAACGGTTGTTCCTGTGATGTTCTATAAATGTGAAAGTTGGACTTGGATGAAACTGAATAGAAATATACAGCCTCTCTCCCTTTCCCTCTCTCTCTCATCTCTCTCTCATCTCTCTCTCTCTCTCTCTCTCTCTCTTTCTATCTCTCTCTTTCTCTCTTTCTATCTCTCTCTCTCTCATCTCTCTCTCTCTTTCTATCTCTCTCTCTTTCTCTCTCTCTCATCACTCTCTCTCCCTCTCTCATCTCTCTATTGCTATCTCTCTCTCTCTCTCTCTCTCTCTCTCATCTCTTTCTATTGCTACCTCTGTCTCTCTCCCCTCATCTCTCTATATCTCTCTCATCTCTATCTCTATCACAAAAAAGATAGATAGGATTAGGATTAGAACTTTGATGTTGGAGAAAATTTCTGGTCAGCCCAGAAAACAAACAAATGGATCATAAAGTAAATCAAGATGGGATTCTCACATGGAGTACTAATGGCTGGGCAAATACTATTATATTTTTGACATATCATGAGAAGTTCCACTTCTTTTGAGAAATCCAAAATACTTTGAAAAAATGAAAGAAAAGGAGGAAGGGGAGGGGATGGACAGCAGCTGAGTGGATGGACTTAGTTATGGCAATAATGAAGGCATCCTTGAAAGAACAGAAAGGCCAAGTTAAAGGCAGATATTTTGCAAAGATTCTATTCATGGGGTCACTAAAATTGACATTGATTATAGCACTTAACTCAAAAGCTTTAAAAGGTATCTAGGTTTTATTGGTGCCTGTTGCCAAGACAACATCTGGTCTGTTCTTTTAAGAAAATTGTCCCAGAATTGCCATAATTGTTTGACTTAGAATATATTTATTAAAAATATTTTGTCCATTCCATCTATGGAGATTCTCAATGATCCAGGTCATGGTTCTTCGAATTGAAGAAGCTTCTTGGAAGTGAAACAAAATATTTTCAAAGACAACATCAATAAAGTCCACTTGTCTTTTGGAAAAATCACCTTTTGTCCAGCATTTTTAGTTAAAAATCTCCCAGAATTGATTTTAACTGTCAGTGAAAAAAAGCTTAGAGGACTTTTGGGGTTTATAGAAGCAATTATCCTATGCATTTAAAAAGAATAGGACACTCAAAAGTCTTGAAAAGCATAAATAGGTTTCCAGGACTTAGAATGCAAATATGGCTAGTCACCTCAGATGTGACAAGGAATATAGCTCAGCCTGCTATTAGTGAGTTAATACATAATCACAGGCTTACTAAACAATCTCTTCTACATAGAAAAGAGAATAAATGACATTTTATTCTTTGATCCGGCAGATAATATCACGGACAGTTGGGTTTGCTTGCTCTTGTACAAATTTTAATTATACAGAAGATCCTGCACCTGAGTTGTCTATTCTGAAATAGTTTTTGCCATCAGTAACTTCGTAGAAAACATCTGCATGACCATGAAGGGTTGGATCATCAGCATCCACAGCTGTCACTTTGGTGACAGATGTTCCTAAAAGAAGAAGAGAGAATGAAAAATATCGGGTACAGTTGAATGGTTTGAGACATCTTGTGTCAACAGAAGGCTGAGGGAATTAGCAGTGAAAATAGAAATACAACGGTGAGAGATGATTCTCTCAGTTCTTCTCTCCTTTATCTTCTCCTATTCTAGATCATGGCATGAATATACTAGAGACTTTTAATATGGCAATCCCCATTTTGCTCTCTGAATTCCTGTAGAACTACCTAACCTTAAATGTTCCTAACCTTAGGTAAAAGTAAAGGTTCCTCTCATACATTGTGCTAGTCATTTCTGGGGGCTCATCTCCATTACCAAGCTGAAGAGCCAGTGCTGTCCGAAAATATCTCCATGGTCATACGGCTGGCATGACTAAATGTTGAAGGCTGTTACCTCACTTCAGACTTTCAAGAAGAGATTGGACTGCCATTTGTCAGAAATGGTGTAGGGTGTCCTGCTTGGGCGGGGGGTGGGTTGGACTAGATGACCTATAAGGTCCCTTCCAACTCTGATTATCTGTTACCTTACCACCAAAGTGGCTGCTATTTTTCTACTTGCATTTTTACATGCTTTCAAACTGCTAGGTTGGCAGAAGCTGGGACAAGTAACGGGAGCTCACTCCATTATGCGGCGCTAGGGATTCCAACCACTGAACTGCCGATCTTTCTGATCGACAGGCTCAGTGTCTTAGCCACTGAGCCACCACGTCTCCTGTTCCTAACCTTAATGCTCATTTAATTTTCATTGGCAATGGGATTTTCCCATGTATTTTACTGTGGTTCAGAAACAAGTCTGAACAAAAAGCGTTCACTTGTACCTGTATTGAGCGTTAAGAAGCAAAGCAAGGTTTTCAGGTTGTTTTTTCACTGAAGGATTAATTCAGTGACGTGATATGAGATTTTTAGACAATCTTGCTCCAAATTGAGGAATAAAAAGCTTACCTAGTGGTGACATTTCTACCACTGAACCATTAAACACCCTTTGAACAAATACTGGGGCATTGTCATTAATATCATGAATGATGATGCGGAATTTGGACGGCTCTTCCATTTGTTGATTAGTAAGACGATTATAAATCAGAGCTGTGAGTTCATATTCGGCTTTCTTCTCTCGGTCCAGCCTTTCACTCACAGTGACATCTCCAGTAAATTCATCAACTCTGAACACAGTTCCAGCACCTTCTCCTTCAAGGACATATTTGGCATTGGGATTTTTGATAGTTGAGGTGATCTAGAATGCAGAAATATGTGAGAAAATCACTTCTAAAAGATGCAATAGGATAAAAAAAAATCAGCATCACCATTGTTATTCTTTAACATTTCATTATTTTTATTAAATTTATTTGATCCCCGTCTTGTGGTCTAAAAATTTCATAGCTCCACCGCAAATTACAGAATCTCAGTTTTTTGTATACTTGTTTTGATTTTGAGTTTCTAGAGATATTCCTCTGCCATTTCTGGCATCCATGTTCTACCTAACCTTTCTCTGTTTTCCAGAAAATTCTTAGCTGTTGGACCAAATGCAAATAATTTCCCCTCAGTAAATCAATGAACAAATGTAATGTTTTGGAGTAATTAGTTTCATTTTGGATTCCCTTTATCTACCTTTTGGACTTGTGTGGGCAACACATCATATTTTAGGTCATATTTATGCAGAAACATTGGTGATTCAAAAAGCTTCATAAACTTTGAAACCACAGTTTGAGTTCAAAAAGAATTTTTAAAAAGTACCAAAGTCTTCTTATTCATGCAAAAAGTAAATTCGTTGAAATATTTGGAGATTATTATTATAAATTATGGATGTTTTTGTTTAAAGGTATGATGAATGAAAATATAATATTGTTGCAACTACTAATTTCTTCTACATCTGTACTATGCTTAGTTATAGCTATATAATCAGTAAATAATAAATAGCATTGTTGTTACTACTCCTATATAGATCTATAAAGCTTACAAAGTTTTGTACAAAAAGTTTAATGTATGATTGATCAAATACAATATAAATAGTATATTCAAGTCAGTCCAAAATTAATAACGTTATCTTATTAGATTTATAGTTAGACTGCAAGGCGATCCAACTGGTCAGTCCTAGAGGAGATCAACCCTGGCTGCTCTTTATAAGGCCAGATCCTGAAGATGAAACTCAAATACTTTGGCCATCTAATGAGAAGGAAGGACTCATTGCAGAAGAACCTAATGCTGGGAAAGGTTGAGGGCAATAGAAGAAGAAGGGGATGAAAGAGAATGAGGTGGCTGGATGGAGTCACTGGAGCAATGGACTCTAGAAGATGGTAGAGGACAGGAAGGCCTGGAGGAATGTTGTCCATGGAGTTGCGATAGGTCAGACACAACTACCAACAACAAATTAGATTTATCTTGAAAATGTATCTCCCCTGGGGCTCACTTTGAGATTTGAGTCATGCAGAAATATTTACATTAGATTGGAGCTTTTGGGACTTATTCAGTGCCTTGAAAACCATCCTAGCTAGGCAAAAGGTTTTGTTTAGCTGGTTTTTAATGACTGTGTGCATGTTTTTCTTTCATTCTACTTTTTCTGGGGTAGGTCAGATTGCCAAGACAAAGAGGCAAGATCTTTTGAGATGAGAAGAATTGCCTAGATAGACACTTGGAATAAGGGCTATCAGCTAAGTTAAGTCAGCTGTGTAGGCTGCAGTGAATTCCTTTCCTTTTCTTCCAAGTGGTTTTTTTTTTTACTTTTGTTATTGGATCTTCCAAGAAAGACTTTTGTATCTAATGTCCAAGAAAGGCTCTTATATCTAATATCTTGGTATTTTTTGATGGGTTCTCAGAACTGAGTGCATTCAGAATTTATATAAGAGGGGGACTTAATCATGGGGCTTATATAATCATGGGGTGAAAATGTCGCATGTTACAAAGCTGTGAAAAGTATATAAAAAAGAGAAGTGTTCATGGCTTTAACAATAATCTTTACTTAGAGAAGTTTCTAGCAATAACAAAGCATACTTAAACCTATTAAAACTCCTTGCCCACCACATAATTCAACCATGTAGCCTAGTGTCATCTATTTGGACTGGCAGGAGTCTCACAGGGTCTTTTGAAAGAGTAGTTTTTCTCCTACCCCATCATCCACCACCTAGTTCTGTTCAATAAAGGGGTTATGGCTTTCCAATTGCAAAGAAGAACATGGATGCCCCACACTAAAAATCTGCTTTCCCCCCAGCAATGGTGATGATTGAAATGGGCCTTCCAGAAGACATCAGATTTCATGATGACCAGACTCCCAAAGATTTGCTTTCTGCATCTCAAAATATCGAATGTGGCTGCTTTCTGGAAAAAGTAAATATGATGGTTCCCCTCGTGTTTCCAGCTCTAGGGGGCGGTGTTCATCTCCATTACAAAGCCGAAGAGCCAGTGCTGTCCGAAGACGTCTCCGTGGTCATGTGGCTGACATGACTAAACACTGAAGGCGCATGGAACACTGTTACCTTCCCACCAAAGGGGTCCCTATTTTTCTACTTGCATTTTTACAAGCTTTTGAACTGCTAGGTTGGGAGAAGTTGGGAGAAGTAATGGAAGCTCACTCCATTATGTGGTGCAAGGGATTCGAACCGCCAAACAGCCGACCTTTTTGATCAACAAGCTCAGCGTCTTAGCCACCAAGCCACCGTGTCCCTTACTTTTTGGAAGCCAGTGTTCAACTGTGCAAAAGCCAAATGGGTACTATTGCATCTCTGCCTAATGGGCTTTGCTGGGCAATTTTCCATGCCAGGAATTTGCTTGTGGTACCTCTTGGGTGTGTGACTACTAATTGACCACTACCAAATCCATACATACCTTTCCAACATGATGAGGGAAAGTCCCGTTCTGCTCTTCAGGAATATGCATTTTATTCCAGATCCATTCTCTTTTCATTCGCTTATGCAAGTTATTGTTTGTGTTTGACTTTGAGAAATGGTCTCCACTCACACTGGAAGATGTCAGGATCAAGAAAACGAGGAGGAGGAAGTAAGAGCAGACTGCCATCTTTATAGTCTGATGATCTCAGAAACTCCTGCGTTTGAAGAAGTCAAAAACCATCTGGTGACTACATGGCACAACATGATAACAGCACACAAAAGATTTATTGAAGGCTGTTCCTTTTGAACTTCCCAGTGTAGCCTCTAGCCTTGGGATTCTTTGATGGTCTGTCATCCCAATGCTAACCAGATCCAATCCTACTTAGCAGAGAAGGTTAGACGGATACTCTACCTGCTGAAAAGAAAACCCTATATTATAAGGCAAACAATTCATTAGACAGTTATTTGGTGTTTTCATATAAGAATGTTTTCAGGCACTTAGGGCTGTTACTCACGAGCTGTTTTCTATTAGCAGGTTAAAAAAAATATTCAAGGTTTAATTAGTAAATTAAAAGTCAATGGTGAATTTTTGCTGTCATTTTTAGACACGCAGGTCCCTGAAAGCAAATCCTCTTTTTGGAAACCAAATCAAACCAAATCCTTTATTCCTTATGTCTATGGAGGTTCTTAGTCATCCAGGTCACGGTTCTTTCAAAAGTGTTTTTTCAAAAGGCAACTGGTACTTTGTTTTTCCTTGAGGGTGTTTCTCCTCTCATCCAAGAAGCTTCTTCAGTTCTGAGGAGAAGCTTGTTTGATAAGCTAGAGAACTTTGGTCTATGCTGATTTTGTAAGATTCTTAATTTATTGGTTCACATTCCCAGTTTTGTTTCTGGCAAGCTTTCATCATTGATATATATGGCATAAAAATATAATCCAGATCTTCGTATGTTTCAAATGATTTGAACTTTCTCTCTATTTTCATGTTCCCCAACACCCAATTTTCACTTCCTCTGGGTAATTTTTGAGTAGACTTTGTGTCACCAGATAAAGTTGTCTCTTGATTGCCTCACTTCAAAACTAGAGGTTTAGCCTTTTCTCTAAACAACGTCTCTCCTTTTGAGATCCCCCAATGGTAATGCTTGCATAATAATTAATATTTTTGAGATTTCAGATTTCAGGAGCAATGTCTTTTTTTTTTCTTAACCAGATACTGCTAGAAAAAAACAAACAATGAGGTATCAGTTTCAACTAGCAGTGGTGGGTGATTAAAAAAAAAAACCTTTTAGAGCAGGGCTGTCAAAATTGATTTCATTGAGGGTCATATCAGGGTAGTGTTTGACCTCGGAGGGCCAGGGGGTGGGTGTGGTCATGGTGAGTGTGACATGGGACTCATGTTGAGGACACCTGTGGTTGTCAAGGGCTAATGCAGGACTTCCCTAAGACCCTCCCTCACTCTCATTATCATCTCCTTCCTTCCTTCCTTCCTTCCTTCCTTCCTTCCTTCCTTCCTTCC